TATTACACAAACAAATTGCTATATTTCCAGTAAAACTGCATTTACATTTGTTCCATCCAAATTAACCAGCTGTTGTGAGAATGGGGCAAAATCAAATGCTCTTAGGCCATTTTCTCTCCTGGCCATGGTCTTCAAATATTATGGCCAGTAATAAAAATGGGTTAAAACATTGCATGCTTGCACCTTAGGGCACATTAAAAGTGTGCCTTTCTCCAGCGCTGTCGGATTGATCTTTTGTCCCCTGCTGCCATCTCAGCAACTGACACTTCTGGGTTTCGGGTCCTCCTCCATCATCTTAGAGATGCTGTGAATGGGCTGAGTGTGTACTGCTGGGGGGAGAGGCAGAACTGTTTTTTTTTTTTTGTAGTGTAATGTGACAGTTTTTCTTAAACAGTACAGACTATTGATTTTATGACAGTGCTGGAGTGCCAGGGCCGGGTCGCAGCTGCAACCCTGGTAGTTATGCTGCTGATTCCAATAGAGCTGCAGCAAACGATTATTTTCAAAATCGATTAGTTAGCCGATTATTAGGTTTGGTTAATCGGATATAAAATAAATGTTAAAAAATGGCTCCAGTGATGGGACTAGTAGTTTGTATTGAGATTGCAGTCCATCACGGGAGCAAGCTTGGAGCGGTAGAAGTAAAAAAGAAAAAAAATGTGGTGTGCAATATAGTGAAATGTAAAGTGTAAAATTATACAGCAATGAATGCAGAATGTCACCGGCTATAGAGGACTACAAAACCCAGCAATACATTATACAGCACAATGCAGAATACCACCAGCTATAATGTACTATTGCTGGGTTTTGTAGTCCTCTATAGCCTGTGGTATTCTGCATTGTGCCGTATAATGTACTATTGCTGATTTTTGTAGTCCTATAGCTGGTGGTATTCTGCATTGTGCTGTATTCCAAGCTGTAGAGGGACTACAAATCCCAGCAATGCATTATACAGCAATGTAGAATAATATGAAGCTACATACTCCATGTTGCTCTGGGCCGGCAGCCTCATGTCTCCGATGTCTCAGGCGGTGTGTGTGGGGTCTCAGGCGGGCTGTGCAGAGTTCTCCAGTAAGAAGGAGATGTAAGAACATTCAATTTTGCCCCATTCTGATGCCGACAGATTTAGAAGTTTAAATGTTTGCAAAGAGACCTGCTGTGACAAATTTCCTGTGATCAGAAAGACTTGTAGAAAAATCATTCTTTCCTGGCAACCAGTTATAGGTTTGCTCTTCTGGCACTTAAAGCTGAACTCATTTAAAAATGTAAATACACATACGATGATCCAGATTGACACAATGTTATATAAAAATGATCTCTGGCAGGGCTATGGGGATTGTGTAATACACTGCAGTAGCCACAGCTACTACAGTATATTACAGCATCTTCCATTTATGGGAACAGCCACTTTCCCTGAGCTGCACGGGTCATTCAGTGGGCAGCACAACGACCATTTCAAGGACGCCCAGTATTTTTGCCAATGAATACTAGATATTAGCTGGTTGGTTGAGGGGCGGTTTCATGGTATTACAGGTATGCACAGGCGCATGTAACAGCACGAGGAAGTCGCTCAGCACAGCAGATGTTCCTATATCCAGAAGACACTGTGTTACAGGATCACTGTTGTGCAGCCAGGGATCATTTATATATACTTGGCGTACCAAGCTGGACTAATGTAAGTGTATATATAACATTTTTAAAGCTGGAGTTCATACCTTAAAACATGTGCATTTAAACAAGACAGGTGTAGATCAATGCAACTCCCTTGTATTGTGTGTGTGTTTATTTTAGTTTGTAGTTGTTTTTTTATTTTTATTATTTTCCCCTTAATCATTTTCTACACAATAACGGCTTTCCTTAGTATATTGAGTCAGCCTGTAAAAAGTACAGAAATGTATACATGTGAACTACAAAGCAGTTCACACCAAAGCAGCAGTGCTGAGATTGTCACAAACTGCTCTGTTGTTGGCGATCTTATAAAATGCTGCACCTTTCATTTGATTCCTTGAAGACCCCTGAAAACCATTGTTCATTCTTGATCATCGGTGTTCAAATGCTGATGAGTGAGTGCGCCCTAAAGGCTGATGCTTGCTTGAAACTAGAAACTAAATGACATGCTTGCTGCATTTGCTTTCTAATCCATTTGCTGTGTTTCCCTGTTGCAGCCTGCTTTTCTGCACCCATTCCCCGATACTTGGTAGTAGTGGTAGCTCTGCGCACAATCATTTTGCATGTATGTTGGTGGCAGAGATAATGTCCTGCTTGGGTAAACATTAACAGTTCAAAGCCTTTTTTTAATTATTTTTAGGCTTGTAACACTATGCAGCATTTGGTTGGAGCAGTGGCTAATACTCTCCAACAAATCTTATTCTAAATATTTGACCTATGCAGCAGTATAGCAAGCTTTGTCTTATTGTGTAGAACAATCTGTATGATTTGTGTCCATTTTTGCTCGTGAACATTTGTGTTTTATTTTGCCTTTACAAACCCCTTTACTTCATTTTGCTCCCCATGGCTGTTTTTGTCCCCACCTTCACTTCGTCTTTCTCTCTCTGTAAACTCACGGCAGGGTTTGCTTGGTGAACTCATTCTATTACAAGAGCAGCTCAAGCAGCATGAAGAGGAGGCACGCAGGGCTGCTGGAAACATTAACACGGGCACTTCACAGCAGAAGCGCAAGGTGACGGGTCATAGAGCACTGGGTGCACTGAGCACTTGTCTTGTCAGTCAGCTGCAGTCACAAATCCATATTTACACAAACTTTACAATTGGATTTAATTCTAACATGTGGAAGGGGGATATCCGACCTTCATAAAGCATATTAATGAAATGTTGCATTTGTGTTTTATTCTGTTTATATTAATTATTTTAGGTACATGGTTAAAAAAATGAGAACTAGGGTATGTCCCTTCTCATCAAATCTAGATCTTTTAGCAATCACGTGCTGTTTTATAAGGGGTCAGTCCTGCCCCTGGCATCAGCTTATTAATGCTTTTTAATAGCTAATAATTTTAGCCCATGCAAAATATATTATGTATGAATTCTTCTCAGCAGTTTTTATGTGAACAGAAGTCAGACAAGGTGTTCATTTAGAGCTGTTTTTGTTTGAGACAATATAGTATTCATTGTTTGGTATTGGGAATACATTACGGGTGTGTTTTTAAAATGTTCACAAAGCCATTATTTCTGCAAAACTAACATTTACGCTAGTTCAGTGCGAATACGAAACATGTGGGGGGTTATTCACAAAAGGGTGAAGAGTTTGGAGAAGGCAGGAGAAGTAAACAATCTAGGCCAACATAGCTGAACTGGAAAAATTATCCAATTCAGCTCACTTTCCAGTTCAGCTATGTTGTCCTAGATTGTCCACTTCTTCTGCCTTCTCCAAACTCTTCACCCTTTTGTGAATAACCCCCGTAATGTTTTCTTGTGCAGAATAAATTTCGTTTTTGGAAAATACCAATTATGGCCACTAGATGGAGCCAAGGCGCATAGAAAAAAACTATTTCCTATGCTGCTCAGCTTTATCTAGTGGCCATAATGTGGAATTGTCCAACCATTACACTTCAATTTTGCCCTATTTACACATAATGAATGTAAATGTCTCTATCACAGAACAATGACTCAAACGTTTTATAAATACACCCCTTAGTGTTTTTATAGCTATTTAGGAATTGTTTGTTTTGGAACCTTTTTGATGATTTTTCTGATAATAATTTTACAGGGGTTATTAATAAAACAGAGTGGGCAAGGTATAAATTTGATGCTAAAACCATGTAGCTTTTTGACAGATGTCAGCTCAAGATATAGTTCCATTGGTGCAACCAGACAAGTGATAGGAGCATAGAGATGTAATGGGACAGTGATGGCAGATGGTTGTGGTGAGAATTGTGGGATAACAGTTGTTTTATTGAAAAAGAATGGCACAGTGTAAAATCCAGAGTACATAGCCCTTTTTTTGTAAAAAAGGAATCTATGTGCAAAATTGTTAATAAAAATGTTTCTGGGCTCATGTCGATGAGCGAAAATGTTGATGTGTGTTTGAAACGCATGTGAAACGCATATCAGCAAAGTCCCATTGACTTTAATTTAAAGGGATATAAATTAAAGATATACTGACCTGAACCTCGGAGCAAGCTGGCTGCTAGACTGGGCTCTGCAGCCTCACTCCCCCTCTGCTCCGGCGGTCTAAGGTCCTTTGAGTCATCACATCCAATACAGTGTATTACATGTGAGGAGTGGAGGAGAGAAGCTGCTGGGACTGATCTAGGAGCCAGCTGGGTCCCAGGTTCAGATGAGTATATCTTTATTTTTGTCCCTAGATGAAAACAAGAACTTAATCCTCGTAGTACGGTGGTAGCCTTACTGCACATGGCAGTTCAGAGCCTGTGTTTAATTTCTTTGGATGCAGCATGTCCTGTTAAGGTGCATTTGAACTGCAGGCCAAGCGCTGCCTTCAAATGGAAAATGGAGAGTTTGACTAGAACATCTGTCGCCATGAACGCCGGTGGACTTGATAATTTAATGGCAGAATCCAGACTTTTGGAGGAATTGTGGAATCATTATTTGGATTCGTGGTTACTATGGGTCACTGAATTTTGTACATCATCATCGCTCTTAGTGTAAGTTTGCTTTCAGTAGTGTTATTTAGTGAAAGGATTTGGTAATAATGTCTGTGTTTTGTTTAGCACGCTGGGGAAAACATGCTGATTTTTACTGGTATTAAAGAATGTGTATGGTATGTGTAATGAAAGGAGAGAAACATATGTGATAATTCTGTGGTTGGATATGTCTATTTTAGATACCTCAATCTCCTTCTGTGACTCATTTATCTGTTCATTAGGTAAATCTTCAATAACTTACTGGTGTCAGATTGGTTGTGAGGTATAAAAGTGTTTGAAATTAATAAACCTTTTCTCATATTAACATTTCATCTCCTCTTTAAGGTATCTGACAAAGAGAAAGTTGATCAGCTGCAGGATGAGCTTTTACAGACCCAGGTAGGCTGAGTTTTACTGTATGGGAATTATAATAACAGAACAACACATTTTAATAGCTGAAATATAAAGAAGGTTTTCCTGTCAATGGATTTGTATTTCTATTCACATACTGAGATTTACACAGCCCGTCCACACGGTACAGCATGGAGGGTGACGCCACTTAAGCTGGCCGTGTACTGTAATATTTTCTTTGTTCAACCTGTGGGCTGAACGAAGAAAATATTACAGATTTCTCCATCAACCTTTACGAGTGTTGATTCAGGAATCTCCCGCTGTTTGCATTGTATTCTGACAGCAGCTGCCGGCTCTGTTCGTTCGAAGATTTTTTCCGGCTGTCTCCTTTAATCAGCTGATCCAGGGATGCTGACAGCCGCACTCTTTGCAAATTTCGTCCGGTTCATCAGGAGCTGGCTGAGATTTGTTCAGTGTATGGCCAGCTTTACTTGGTAACAGTGAATACTAGGGGTGCACCGATACTGGTTTTTCGGTATCGAGTACCGTTTTTTTTTTTTCGGTACTTGCTGATACCGGAAGTCCCATTAAGGAAGCCAGGCGGCGTGTAATAACTCGCCACCTGGCTTCCTGATTAGAAGCCGTCTCCATGCTCCCTCGCCACCAAGTGATGAGGGAACATGGAGCCAGCTTTCTGGCCAATCAGGAATCCGGGCGCTGTGTAATGACATGTTGACTGGCTTCCTGATTGGTCGAAGCTGGACAATCAGGAAGCCGGGCAACGAGTCATTACAGGGCGCCCGGCTTCCTGATTGGCCAGGAAGCCGGCTCCATGCTCCCTCGTCAATCAGAAAAGCCAGGGTGCTGGTAATGACTCGCCGTCCAGCTTCGTGGTCTGCCGGCTTCTCGACCAATCATTACCTGCTGCCTGGCTTCCTGATTGGCATGGGGCCAATCAGGAAGCCGGGCGGTGTGTAATGACATGCCGCCCAGCTTCCTGATACCGGAAAGCTCCTGTATTGGGCTAGGCATCGGAGCATTTGGGCGAGTACGAGTATTTGCCCAAATACTTGCCCAAATATTTGCATTGGCACCGATATAGATCGGTACTAGTATCGGTATTGGTGCATCCCTAGTGAATTACAGTGGTGTAATTTCTCCATCCCCAGCCTGCTGATTGTAAAAGAGCAGCAGCAGACAGATGAGATCATCCCTCTGATCACTCTGCTTTCCCCCTATTCGCATGTTCCATGTCAGAGTAGGGGATCATTAAGATTTTATTTTTTTTGCTATTTGTCCCATTGGGGAGATTTAATTTCCTGTCCTAGAGACACAACATCATGTAAGAGGAAATATTTCCAACGAGCGTCCTCCTAGACAATTTCCCCCACTGGAAGCTTTTACTTTAATGCTGTTCTGGTGACCGCTCATTCAGAATGTTGAATTTTCCCTCAGTTTCTATCTTTTTTTGACAATGGTCCCCACGAGATAAAAAGAGGGTGAATGTTCTTAATGGAGACACACAGCAATAAAATCCTTACCGAGGTTCTAAACCCCACCACTCTATCCAAAAATGGCTCTTGATACACTATAAAGCCCAGCTTACACCAAAACATTTGATTTAGTTTTGGATAAAGTGGGAAAGGGTTGGAGTGTCTGTCAGGTTTCTTTTTGCTATTTATGTCCCTATTAGGGATATTTCTCCTCTATTTTATTATGACAGGAAATACTGGGAAATCTCTCCAATGGGTTAGAGCAGGAAGTTGCAGGAAATTTCTTCAACAATGAACAGTGTTTTATTGCTGTGTGCCTATCTGTTCTAGCATTGACAGCCACCTCCCATTTCTTGGGTGGATATTACAGGGACAGGAAATGAGGGAGAAATCTGCTCAACGGCATCACAAAGAGAAATAAAAACGGGACAGAAATGTTAGCTCTTCCCCACGCTATCCCAAAAAAATTTTTTTGGTTAGATTAGCTATCCTCCAATAGCTATTTATTATTTGTAATACTGTAAATGTTAATTGGTCTTTTATGTTCCAATTAAAACACTTCACTAATTATCTTCTATTTTGATGTTTGTTTGTTTTTTATATGCTTCAGTTGAAATACCAGCGTATTCTTGAACGATTAGAGAAAGAAAACAAAGATTTGAGGAAGGTGGTGCTACAAAGAGATGACAAAGGAATTCATCAGAGAAAAGTCAAGGTGATGCATATTTAAAACAGTAACAATTATTTCTACTTTAAAGGAGAACTATGGGGTTAGGGCTTTTCCCCATAATTCTCCTAAGGGTCACCGGAGAACACAAACTAGCATCCTCCCCTCACCCAAAGCTCAGTATACCGCAAGCTGGAGCTGTATACTGAGCTGTATACTGAGCTGTATGCTGAGCTGTATACTGAGCTGTATACTGAGCTGTATACTGAGACGCCGCAGCCGGGTTGGATCCCGACAATACTGTCTGGATCCACCCAGCTGCGAGATTGACAGCTGGCTCTGCCTATCCAAAGGCAGAGCCAGCTGTGCCCGCCCCCTCCCCGTCCCTTTCGCCAGTCAGCGCTGGAGGATCGGAGAGGGGAGGGGGGGATCCCTGCAGGGAGCCGTGAGTGACAGTCACGGCTCTCTGCAGGGATAGATCGAGAAGTGAGCGAGGGGCGGTATGTGTTTGCTCACTTCCCGATCTACTGAGCCGACCTGTGACAGTCTCATTGTCACAGGTCAGCTCAGATTATGAGGCTGAGTGAAAATCACTCACCTCATAATTCTCCTTTTTAAATATAGTACTATACATTCATTATTATTGACGACTACGTGAACCACTATACATTCATTAATATGGACTACTCCGTGAACTGCCGGTATGAATATCCTAGGCTCAGTTTAGACTTTTTCACTTGTATATCTGATCGTCAAAGCAGCTATTTGATTACTTCAGCAATTAAAGGGTTATGTCTGCAGTATTTTGGAATAGCTGATTACAGAAATACACAAAAGTTTGTTTTTAACCAGCAGGCCATTGTAGTGAAACCCCCAGTCAGGGAAGCTGTTACTGAGTGGACGTTTAAAAACTTCCTTGTGCTTAGAGTGTGTGTGCACACCATTGGACAGTACAGATCATAGGCAGGAAAAAAAAAAGAGCTAATCAGGGGGACTTTGTGCCTTGTAATCGCTGTGAACCCATCACAGTGATCACAAGTATAATCCTTGGCTTTGGTTTACATACAGCCACCTCACCTCCCTGTCCTCTCACGGAAGCAGCTTGCAAAGGACCTGAGATAAACCCCACTGACACAGGGATTTAGAATTGTGTAGAAGAGGGAGCATTTTGATCTGCTGCATTTGCTCATATTTACTGTCTATGGCTCCTTTTATTAAGTTTTCTAATTGAGCACTCTACACGCACCACTGAAATCTATTAGACATATCCAAATACAAAGATAGAAGAAGGTCTTTCAGTGCCAAAAATGTTTTCATTCTAGGCTTGGACACGTGGAATTAATGGTGATGGCAAATCTGAAGTTGACTCATGAATAAAAACACAGTTTTGTTTTTTTCTTTCAAAGTCCTTTTTATATAGTAAAAATAAAAAATACACATTTTTCTTTTAAAAGTAAGTGGTTATAAATATTGCCAAAGGAAAGCTCTATCAACCTAAAATACAATGGTATGAATTTTGTTTGGATACAGTGTTGCATGACTGTGGATTTGTCAGTCAAGCTATCACATGGGAAGGGGTGGGGGGTTATAACATGCTGGAATTGGGGTTGTTAATCTACAACAAAAATACTCTTCATTTGATCATGTTTCATTGTTTTTTCTTATGTAATAGAAATCCTTGATAGATATGTATTCTGAAGTATTGGATATCCTGTCTGATTATGATGCCAACTATAACACCCAGGACCATCTACCAAGGGTATGTTGACATTTCTTTCTGCTCTGCTATGCCTACTGTGTCTTCTTTTATCCTTCTTTCTTGTCAGCTGTGCACAAATGACTAGCTTTTGCAGTGTCTAAGCACCACTTATATTATTAGATGTTGCTCGTTGTACCAGCCATCCACACTGCAGCAACACTTCTTTTGCTGTACTGGATGTCTCCTCTAAAAATCGTCTCCCAACTGGCATTCATTGCTACGTCTCTGATGCGTTACCTTCTGATAGGAACACCCTTCCCTCATACATACCTTTGCCTTAAAGAGAAAGAGGGAGGCCATTTTATGCCGAATATTTCAGAGGAGTAAGTGAGCAACATTTTTAAACAAGTTACTGCACAAGGTATAGTCTTAGAGTGAAAAGTGTGAGAACAGAGTTCAGCTTTAAATGGTACATTTATTTATATAGATCATTTGTACAATACACCTTAAAGAAAACCTGTGCTTTGTCCATTCAGAGGGGACCAACAGGTTTGCTTTATTCCCACTATCTTGTGAAGCTTATACATACCTTTTTTTTGCTCTCCTGCCGCTCTGTTTAGTGATAGGAGCTGAAGGTGGTACCTGGTACTTCTGAGTTCAGAGCAGCATGCGACTCACTCATGTGCCAGTGCGGGGCCAGTCATGTGGGAAGTACATAGCCCCATAGCTGTGACTCGCAGCTTAGAGAAAACTTTTCTTTTTTTTCCCCAGTGACTGAACAGAGTGGCGTGGGAGCGAAAGGTGAGTATATGCATCTGTGGAGGTTTGTGTTAGTGAACCTTTTGCTTTACTCTGCATGGATAAAGCACAGGTTTACTTTCATAGAAAAGTTTGAAGTCAAAAGAAGCAAAGGTTTAGGCCCAGAATGGACAATTGGATGTATGTACTCTGGAGCACAAAGAAGCAAAATCTATGTCACCCTCAGCAACCAGTGTGATTCTATGTACCGGTTTTTTGGTTTGGTCAGTCACGGCTCACTGCGACACTCTTCTCTAGTGTTTGGCCTAGGGCCGCAGCTAACGATTATTTTCATAGTCGATTTAGTTGCCCGATTCATTTTTCAACTAATCGATTGGTTACATTAAAAAAGTTTTAAAAATTGCTCCCCCCCCCCCCAACCAACTAACCGATAATGAGAATAGTTGGCAACTTGGCAGTGCCCTCTCCATTATATTAAATCCTTCTTTCCTTTTACCAGCTACTGCCATTACATTTTCTTATAGCAAATACATCACATTCAACCTAGAATTACAAAAAACCCTGATTTTGTTTTCTTTTAAAGGTCATTGTAGTTGGAGACCAGAGTTCAGGAAAAACCAGTGTCCTGGAAATGATCGCACAAGCGCGTATCTTTCCTAGAGGCTCAGGAGAGATGATGACACGCTCCCCAGTTAAGGTATGTTATATGGTTGATGCAGAATATCTGTTCCAACAATCTCTGTGGTTTGAGATAAATAAACGAGAACACCCCCTGTCAGATCATGTGCCCTGGACAGTGTCAAATCATCTCTTGTACTGTATAATATGCTGCATGTTATTGGATCATCCCATCTTGTGAGGGATGGTAGTCATTTCTTGCAATTGTTCTCACTCCATACAGTTTGTGCGGTTGTAGTCATATAAGTGGACCTGATATAACAATATTGTTTGTTCAGTATTTATCAAGTTCTTGTCCCCTGAAGGCACCTTGTGGGAAATTTATCAAAACTGGAGCAAACAGAACCTGGAGCAGTTGCCCATGGCAACCAATCAGCATCCCTCTTCAGTTTGCTCAGATAAGATTTGAAAATGAAAGATAGAAGCTGATTGGCTGCAGCGCAAATTTGCTCCAGATTTTGTCTGCTCCAGTTCTGATATATCCCCCCTTGGGTTTTTAGTAAATGTTCCACCGTTTTCTACTTAATTGTTTTCCTAATGTGTTTGCCAGAATACTTGCTGTTGCAAGATGTAAACAGAGATTTTAATAGAGATGTAATATGCCACCGAGCTCTTGTCATAATAAAGAACAGTGTAAGGGTGAAATCACGCTTGTGAATAACTGAGTCTGAACTGTTGTTTGCTTTGTTTCAGGTTGCTTTAAGTGAGGGTCCTCACCATGTCGCTATGTTTAAGGACAGCTCTCGGGAGTTTGATCTCTCAAAAGAATCAGATGTGAGTAGCTATTAATAGAGGAGCGGGCAGCACTTCTATAGCACGCACTTTCACTAAAACCAAATGATAACATGGATTGTGCTATGTAACTGAGTAAAAAAAGATTACATTTGTTTTGCATTATCCATTGAAAATTAAGAAAAACTGAATGCACTTAATTCATCAGACATTTCCGAATACGCATGTTACAAAGCAAAGATGGTGTGCACCAGGGGTAGATAAACTTCGGCCCTTCAGCTGTAGTAAAATTACAAATCCCCTATGACCCTGGAGCAGATACATGATGGGATTCGTAGTTCCACAACAGCTGGAGGGCCAACGTTTGGCTACCCCTGGTATACACCATGTTCTCTGTTTTATAGGTTTTAAGACCAATAATATTTCTGTGCAGTCTTGAATGTAGGACAATATAAATAATTTACACTTCTTTCTCATCCATTGAGTGGCACCGGAAGTCTTAAACCTTCGGGTTATTCTGCCATCTGCAGGAGGACGGGACGCTGGCAAATAAATAAAAAATTAGCCATTTTTGTAGCCAGCCCAGAAAAACCCCTTCCCGCTACCAGCATGTTTAGGATAAACATGTTGGGATAGGATGCGGTGCAGCCTATCCTTTAGTCTGGCTTTTTAAGTGTTAGATAGACTGGACATCAGCCCGGAAGTGACCTACGGGCACTGGGTTCTGCATAAGTCACTTTCTAGGTCGAGAACTGTTGGCATTGACTCAATGCTTGCCCTGTCACTGAGTAGTCCAGTCAGGCTGAGCATCAGAAGCTACCTCATCTGTGTGGATCGCTGGACGCCTTCTGCTGGTTCATACTGTGGAAGGGGGTTGGCACTGAGGGACGAAATGCTGACATCATCCACTGGCTGGGCAGTTATATGCGCATTCTGCTACTTGGCAATTAGGAAGCATCTCCCCGCTTGTTGCTCCTACATTGTAAAGATTGCCATGGATCTCTGATCTTCAGACCGCCTGCAGTGACTCTGGTCACTGGATCTTTTGTCTCAAGGACCTGTTTGTATTCCCTCTCTACTTCACTGAGCATTCAAACCAAAGTCTCATCTTTGCCCTGGTAACATTCGATGATGGGAACCAGTAAAATAAGAGCAAAGTGTTCTGGTTTTACTGGCGGTGTAAATCCCATTAATTACCCCTATTGTAACTTATTGTCTAAATACACAAAACCCTAATAAAACTCCATCATACTTTGTGTGTATTCTGTCCTGACATATTGTTTTTTTTCTGCTGGCAGCTTGCAGCTTTGAGGGATGAAATAGAAGTACGAATGAGGAAGAGTGTTAAGAATGGGCAGACTGTAAGCCCTGAGGTAATTATAGTAATATGTGTATTGCGGCATAAGGAAACTGTTATTTATTCTCTGAAATATCTTTAATTCTGGCATTATGTTTTACACAGACTATCTCTCTAAGTGTAAAAGGTCCTGGAATCCAGAGAATGGTGCTTGTGGATCTTCCTGGAGTTATCAGTGTAGGTAACATATACCTGTTCTACTCCACATGTACTGGGCACGTTGAGGGGAATTTATCAAAACTGGAGCAGACAAAATCTGGTGCAGATTTGCACTGCAGCCAATCGGCTTCTCTCTCTCATTTTCAAATCTGGCCTGGGCAAACTGAAGGGAGATGCTGATTGGTTGCCATGGGCAACTGCTCCAGATTCTGTTTGGTCTAGTTTTGATCAATTTCCCCCAGTGAATGTTGTAACTTTTACATTTTATTGCTTTTTTTCATAGACTGTTACTTCTGGAATGGCTCCGGATACCAAAGAAACTATCTTCAGCATCAGTAAAGCATATATGCAGAACCCTAATGCTATTATCCTCTGTATACAAGGTAAGCATTAGTTATGTTTTCTTACTTAAGGACATTTTCCACAAGGGAATGAGGCACAGGGTCCAAACACTTTCTCAAAAGACAGTACATGATCCTGAATAAAGATGATGTTCTTGTTGACTGACACTTTTCTCAGATGCTGCACACATGGTCTAAGATGTGCTTGGCACTCATAAAATGTCCCTGAGCATTGGCACTTTTGTTCTTTTTGAAGAAGTGTTGTTCCCCAGAAGTAGTGTTTAGACAATGCATCTAGCAGAATTAAAGAGGTCCTGTCACCAGCCTTCACCTTTTGCTTGAAGCTGTGGGGTAGTTTCCGGCACAATAATTCAAGTCCTCATGTATGGGTACTCTTAGTAGATAGAAAAATCCTGCATCCCGTCTCGGAGTTTAATTCATATCATGAAAATGCAGTTTCTCTGTACTGGTTTCATTGTTTTTATATTCTCATAAACATTTTGGAATTTAGCGATACAAGATTGTTTACACACACTGCCTAAACCTATTGGGCCAGATCAACAAGGATTGGCGGCTGTTGAGGATTGTGAACGGTGGCATGTGATCTCTTATTATGATGTGTCGCATTTTATATAAACTATTATGTTGCAGCGCATATAGTTAATTTGACATAGTAGAAAGTGTAACTGTCTTGTGCCATCATTTGCTTGGTGCACTATTGCATGTCTCCTATTCCTCCAAAATATTGATAAACGTATTTTCTGAACCATTTTTTATGTGGTGCGGTTTGAGACTATTTGTACGAAAAGCAAAACAAATGGCAAACGCACTCATCAACTCATAACCAGCTTTAAAGCAAGGTGCACATGATGCACCAAATGTAAGAAAAAATTCCCAAGTGCGTCTTTTTGTACAAAGACAGCAAAAAGTTTCCCATCACACTCACCAGACAGCATGCCAAAAAAACCTTAGTAGTTAGACAGGTATTTTTGCATGCTGTCTGGTGAGTGTGCTGGGAAACTTTTTGCTGTCTTTGTACAAAAAGAGGAGCTTGGGAATTTTTTCTTACATTTGGTGCACCAGTTGCATCTTTCTTTTCAAACCCTTTTAAAATAAACTATTATTTGGCACCCCTTGCCAGAAAAGCAGATGATCCACATATGTGTGTTCAGCCTACTGTAAGTGTGGAAGGCCTGCTCGTGACATGAGGGGTTTTGCATGTATTCAGGGCCGTGCTAGTCAATGCTCTGTGTGACTGCTCTGTGTGATCTGAGGCAAAAAGCTATGCCACTCACAATTGACAATAATAATTGTTCTAGAGTCTGAGAACTGGAGTTTTACACATCAGTACATGGACTTGTGGAGCTTATGTTTTTGTGTTTAAAGTCAAACTCCAGGATAACATTTAGTGTAGCAGCAAGCTTACCTTTTCTTAATAATCTTTTTATTTCACACCAGAAATCTCCATCATCTTGTAAACCATCTTCGAAGTTTGCCTTAGAGTGGCTGTCGGCTGCTATTTCTTGTTGTGTAGACCCGTGGTTCTAAACTGGAGGGTCGCGACCCAAAAGTGTGTCGCAACCCCATGTTTAGTGGGTCTCTGCGTGCCTTTCACTGCGGTTGATGAGAGGCTCCCCAGCCTTCCCCTAGCACAGCACTGTCAGTTCTTACACTGAGCAGCCATTCAAAATATGCTGCCAGGCGCCGAATGTCAGCTTGAGGTTGGGTTGGCTAGGGGCTATGGCCATGAGGGAGCTCCATCCATATGTGCATTGCTTACAGCTCCCTCACATGCCCTGTAGAGGTAGCTGGACTGGAGTGATGTCACATTCTGGCTCCTGGGACATCTAAAGGCTGCATAAGGGAGCTGTACAAACAATGCACATATAGGTGGAGCTACATCACAGCACAGCAGCCCACACTGGACCCCAGACTGGGGATCCACTCCAGTTCTTGTAAAGTAGGGAGACTGGGTGGATCCTAAAAAAAAAAAAGAAACAAAACGTTTTTTTGTGTCTGTCAATGTTTTTGAGGGCCCCTTCACACTAGTACAAAACCATGCAATCGCACCTACCGCACGTTCTGGTGCTTTGCGTTGTCATTTATTTGAATTGCACCCCAAACGCACCCACATCCCCCCTCCCCCCCGGAACGTGCAATACCGTAATTACATGCATTCCAGTGCGGTGCGACTTGGGCCACGACTTAATGACCAAGGACAAATGTGGGTGCGGAGGTTACACAGGTTGAGAACCACTGGTGTACCCCAGTCACCTCAGCCTGCTGGTTGACTGGACATCACCCCAGTCACCCATCTATTTTAATTAGACAACACTGATGTCACCACAGCAGAGCTTCCTAGAGCAGGGAGATCCCAGCTGCTAATCTTAGTTCAACCCTCACCAGGTTTACACCACCTCCCTACAATTTGCTATGTTCCTCTGAGACTCCACTGATCATTGTCCTACAGTACTACCTGCTGAGGAAACTCACAGCAGAGTGGGTGAGGCTTCCGTGGAGGACACTTGCTCTGGCTCTGCTGTACATCTCTTTGTTTCTCCGAGCTTTGATCTTTCACATTGTGGAGCTCCAAACACTGGCAGCAGAGTGCCAGGGTTTTTGGAAGCTGACTTGCTATCTGCCCTCTTGTGCATCTTCCAGCTTCCCTTAGCTTTGATCCTCTGATCCATGTCTTGCAGCGCCTAGCTGCCTAGAAGCTCTGGACACTGGCAGCAGAGTGTCAGGGTGTGGGACACTTGCTTTCTGCCGTGCTGTGCCTCTCTGATCCCTAAGCCTAGATTTACTGATCAGCGTTTTTCAGCTCTTAAGCTGCCTAGGCGTTCAGGATACTGACAGCAGAGTGTGAGGCTTCAGGGAGCAGAACTGCTGTCTGCTGTGCTGTTCTTCTCTCCACCATTATAAACCTCATTCATTGCCCTGTGTCGCTGTGGGTTAGTGTTTCCAGGAGCAGTGTAAAGGTACAGAAGCAGAGATTTTAATTGGAGCTGTGTAACTTCAAAAAAAAAGGCTTACTTGTGTGCTAGACCCTTTATGAAACTATGTTAATCTTACAATATGAAGTGACAGAAAGGAGAGTGTGATCAATCTCGTCTTCCCCATATATAGCCCATTGCCCCACACGCAGAGAGCTAACCGCACAAGCGCCATTAATGATTTACATACAGGGGTGATAGAGAAGCCATCTGTTCT